AGAGAGAGAAACGGAGAAAGAGAAACCGCCGTGGTCACTTTTTGATTTATAAGCAAAATGTTTGCCGCGTTGCTCAAGTATTTATGAAACATTTCAAGGCAGCGGACACGGCGGCTCCTACTCCTGCTCCTGCTCCAGCTCCAGCTCCAGCTCCTCTCCGCCTTATTTTTCCAGCCAGTTGACACAGGAGTTGTTTGGGGCCTGGGAGCAAATGGCAGGCAGGCCGCAGCAGCAGCAGCAGTAAGTAGCCGCAGTAATTGCGGCGGCATGTGAAATATGAGATAAACTCCAAGTAAGGCCAAGTCCGCGGATCCACAGCCCCGTAGCTCCATAGCTCTCTAGCTTCAAAGCATGTGGCAAGTTGTTTAGAACTAACCAAACCGAGGAAATAGCAACAACCACGACAGGCAGGCGACAGGCGACGACAGCATTTTGGTGCCACTTTGCGGCGAATGCGAAATAACTTCGCACAATTGAGCATGCCGACAACGGGCAGTCGGGAAGAAATAAATAAAAGAAAGGAGCACTAGTCGTACTAGTGGCCACAACTCCCAACTTGGGCATTCTATTAAATTAATCGTCAATTATCAACGGAGCTGCAAATTATCCAGGCCTATGGGGAGCAAACAGCTGAATTCGAAACCAGGAGAGGATGCAACAATGTAGCAAAGAGCCATTACACTTACTAAACTAAATGTTATGTCAACACTTAATTTGGTGTTCCGGGGTCTTGAAAATAAGTGAGTGAAGAGTGTGGAAACTTAGACACTCTTTCTGGATGTGTTCTTAGAAATTTTAACCTTTTTATTTAGCAATTTGTTCGGGTGAAGCGTAATTTTTATTAATATAAATTAATATATGGCCGGATTTATATTATTATAATGAAACCTCTTTAATTTCATGATCGTTTTTCTTTTTTAAATACATTTTTACCTTATTTTAGCTATGCAAACCACTTTATTACCCTCTAAAACTCAGAAGGCAAACTCTTGTTCCGTCAAACAAATCAATTTAACTTGTGCCGGGTCTAATTAAGCAACCGAAAAACTATTGGCCAATTTTTAGAGCGCTAAGGATCCCTGCTCCACAGGAGCATAACATGCAATTGGGCTTGAGCAAACGTTGGAACAGAACGGCCAACTTGTTCGCTTTCGCTTGTTCAATGTGTTTAATTAAATAGCAAGCGTAATTAAATTGCAATTAAATTAATTAAAAATTAATTAATTAAATTAATTAAAAAATCCCCTCCTGTTGCTCGTATTCCTGTTCCTGTTCCGGTTCCTGTGCTCCTGACGGGAGGATATTTTTTGAAGAGGGTATGCCGTCGCTCAGTTTAGGGTCCAACGTTGGCAGGCGGTGTGAAAGGAAAACAAAACAAAAAATACAATGTTGCCCTGGACATGGATTTCCATTTTCCTCCCCACCAAATACTTCCTCTTTTTCCTCCTCCGTCAATTTCCCTCATTTTCCCTTTGCCGCGCACAATTAGACTTTAATTTTTTATGAGCAATGAATGGTTTCGCAGTTTTACTTTTTGGTGTTAAATGCTTGATTAAGTTGAATGCTGAAAGCTATGCAAATTTTCCCCCTTTTTCCCGGCTGGGGGGGGTTAGAGTTTTGGGGCGCTGGAAAATTGGCTGCTTTGATGTTGCTGCTCCGAGGGGTTAGGGGTTGAAAAACGAAATAACAATTCTACTCTTTTCTGGTCTTAATTAGTGCAATGACAAAAGTTTATTTCTAGCTGCTGGAAAATGCAGGCCCAAGATGTATGCAGATGGTAAGGGAAATGCGGGTAAATGAAAGAAAACTCACTCAAGCTGCTGGAAATTTTACCGAAAATTAATTGCCCAAGGGTTTGGGTAATAGCTAATGGAGATTTAGAGGATATCTGTCAAAGATCTTTTACCCTCAGATGGTGAAACAATAAAACTAAAATCCTTTGTAAATAGAAGAAGGAAACTAGAAAGAGTTGAAAAGGTAATCTTGGGAAAGATTTCATGTGATACTCAACCTCAATTTCAATTCAGGGGCGCACATAATCGAAAGTAAATGAGCAGCCAGAGACACCGACCGATTTCCTACAAAATTCCCGCCATAATCGCCAAGTAAAATCAACAATAATAAAGCCACACAGCACGTAGGCAAAATGAACAAATTGAATTGCGGCAATTACTTGCCACGCTACGCAAAATCGCCCAAGAAAATAAAAAAGGGGCAAGAGACAACAACCACGGTCGCCGGCGAAAATCCAAACTCAAGTTCATAAAAATGAAATCATGCCACAGCTCAGGCAGAAGATCAAAGAGGACAAATCAATAAAGCCCCAGTCAAGAAATAACTTAAAGTCAGGCCAAGTCGGAGCGGACAGAGAGCCAACGACGACGACCCCAAGACCAACCAACCAACTTGACCTGGTCAAGGCTAAAGGCACATAAAATAAAATTATACAACGGAGCAGGGAAAACTAAAGCAAACTGTCTTTTGATCTATGCTGGCTGCAGAGAGGCCGATGATGAGCCTGATGATGGGCATGATGATGAGGATAATCATGAGGATGGCCTGGCTGGATGGCTGGCTCATCGCATCCAACAATGTAGAGCAACCTCAACGACTGGTCCTGGGTAAATTGGCATAAGAAATCAGAAATCACAGAAGGCTGCTCCTCTCGGACTCCGACTACGACTCAGACTCAGACTCTGACTCGGAGATAAATGGTCATGGCTTCTTCGGCCCAAGCGAGAGACCGACCGAGAGCGAATGCAATATTAAGTAAATATACAAAACGTTGTCGGCACGGCGCACAAAACTAATGATGTCGATGAAGCTGGGGGAATACGAGTATCTCCGGGACGGCCGCCACTGCTGCCAGAGCTGAGGAGACTCCAACTTGGACTCGGCCTGATAATGATGCGGCGGACAGGCGCAGATACAAACGGACAGCGAGGAGCTGCAGTGCGCTACGTGGGGACGGGACTGACTGGGATACTGGACACTGGCGATATACACACGCCAGGTAATAAATTTCATTTCTCAGCTGATATGGGCAATTAAGGAACAATTTTGCAGCTGAATGAGTAATAAATAAAAATTGTATGCCAGCGATATACGCAGATACAAAACTGCAAGACGTCGACGGTTGTCCGTTGTCGGTTGTCGGTCGTCAGGCCCCAAGATAGTTTTCGGGATAAAAATACTCCAACACTGGCGGGCAGTGGAGGCAGTCGGCAGTCAGTCAGGCACTGAGGCAGTCAGGCAATGAATGAATGAATGAATGAGGGACGGATGGGCTCGAGGAACTCCTCTGCATGCCTGCCCTTTTGATGAAAACAACTCAATGACGTGATTTGTGCCGCCAACGATGCCGAGCTGCCCAGTCTCTCCAGCTCCATCTCCATCTTCGTCTGCGGACATTCCATCCATCCTTCGCGAAATCCTGCCTCATATAAATAAATCACATTTCACTGAATTGATGTGCAAAATTCTTCGAGCTTGCACAAGAAAAAAAAGGGTTCTTCTAAGATTTCGTTTTGGGGGGCCATAATTTAAAGCTGCGAAATATTTTTGCATAATAAATCAAGCTTCCGCTGGGGCTGCTGCCGCTTTATCTTAGCCTTTCCCACAGCTTAAAAGAAGTCCATCAAATGTTGCCATTTATCCGGCAACTTGTCTGCTCTTTGGCATTATTTTAATTACACTCGAGCCGGCAGCAGTATAAAACCTGAGCCCAGGACCCGAAGCCAGAAGGCAAAAGGTATTTTTTAAATGCTTCTTTACACTAGGAGAAAATATGGTACACTTTTTAAAGTCAAAAAGCCGGAAGGGAAAGTAATTTGTTAATTTTTTTCTGTGCCTTGTATTTATTTAAAAGTTATTTAACAATTAAATAATTTTATTAATTTATCTAAACATTTTAATAACTCTAGAACTTAACTCTCAGTGCACTTTGTGGATTTTCTGGTCAGAAAACGAAACATTTTCGGGGCCATCGGTGCCTTTTTGGTAACACATGATATGTCGCCTACCTGGTGGATGCTTCAGCCAGGAGTTGGAGTTGGAGTTGGGGTTGGGGAGTTCCTGGGATTTGGGGAATCAAGACACAGGGCGAGGGGCAACGAAGAACTCGCTGAGTGGAGAACAATGGAGACCGGCATGGAGCAACATGACACTCGAGGTTCGAGTCTCGAGTCCGAGGATAAAGGGGTTCCACTGTAGCACCGAAGCCAAAGCTAAAAGCTTCTCATACCAGAGCCACTGGTCAGCGGAGAGCTGGTGCTGAGCACTTGGAGTTGGAGCTGGAGGAGGATGTGGAGGAGCTCCTGCTTTGCCTCTGTTTAAATGTTCTCCATTTTACTGTCAAGTGCGGACCGGACCGGGTTGACATTTGCCAACGATGCAACTGCCCCTGGGAGCCCCATGCCCCGATTTCATTCCCTGCTCCATTATTTGATTCAGCTTCGCATGTCGAGAATTTTAATTTAAGTATGTAAACTGACATTGAATAGTTTTTCGCCAGGGAACAGTGGTGCTCGCTCGCCTCCCTTTTATTGTGGGCGGCGGCAGAGGACCCCCAGCTCAATGAAATAGCAGATGGTGTGTGTGTGTGTAGGGGCGAGTGCAATTTCAGTTTTGTTTGCAATTGGATTTCGTAATAGAAAGCTCGCCCGGACCAAACTTTTCCTAGCAGCAGCGGGTGTGTGCGGGCTATTTCAACATGCTGGATTGAAAGTTTTATGACAGGCAGGAGCAGATACTTTTAATAGATATTTAAACCCTCAGTTCTCGGAGGACTGAGAGAGTCGGGTTTGGCATGTTAATGATGCTTGTGCCGAATTTTCAAAGCCGAATTTTGCTTAACTCAACTTTAGTTTAGTGAACAAAAATTAAGGAGATTAAATAGCGTACAATTTGAGTCCTCTAGAACATTACTTTTGGTGCAATGAAATGGGCTTTGATAACAATTTATGTTTAAATATGTTTAGTAGAAATATTAAGCCACTTACCGGTGTTGAGTATGGATGCGCCGTTAGTCGAACTCCGTCCGTTTCCAGTTGCTCTCGCAGGACGAGCTCCAGTTCGTTGCTGGGCGGGGTTTCACAGAGGATCTCCATGCTGCCGGACAGGGAGTTGGGATCGTTGAGCATGAAATAAACGGAGGCAGCTCCCTTTTCCCTCAGCGAACGTATGCTCTTCAGCAGCTTGTGTCGATGGGCAGGATTCTCCACGCCGATGGCGTCCAGATCGGGATCGCCGACCTGCTTGCAGATCTCCAGATCGTCGTAGCCATTGTCCAGAAAGCTTTCCGCATACTGGGCCAGGCCCAGGGCTCGCAGCCACTCGCAGACAATGTTGCTAACGGCCATAATGAGGTTGAGACTGAGACTGAGACTGAGACTGAGACAGTCTGTGGGTCTGTGTGTGTGCCTGGGTGGCAAATGGGTGATGGCGGAGTGTCTGTGTTATGTAAGGCGTAGCTGCTTACGTGTGCCTTGCCAATTACCGCTACAAAATGGCGTCTATTAGTTTTGCGTCACGTGCTGGGGGGCGCCTTCTAATGCCACGCCTCCTGCTCTGGGCCAACGGCAGCAGCTCCTCGTTGCATGCAATTTCCGTTGGCACTTTAAGCCTGAAAGTATTGTTTTAAATCGTCGTCCTCGCCGTAGCATTCGCTTTACATTTTTGCCTTTTTGTTTTTATGCCTGCTGTCCCCCCTCCGGACAGTCGTAAAAATTCAACGCGTACACTCATAAAAATTTATATCGCACTTTGAGCATTTCTAGCATAATCACAGACTGCTCCAACCCGCTGGTTTATCCTCATCCTCATTTTGTTTGGCGCCGCCGCTGCTCTGCATTGCTCCTGCAAGAATAAAATAAAAACGAGAGTTTAGTAGTCAGCGCGAAAAATGTTAGCCCATAATTCCACGTTTTCCCATTTTCCCAGAGTGGGAACTTTCCCTCTTTCCCATTTTCCCTCGCATTTATTTATCAATAATTTAGAGAGTGGCCGCAAAATTGCATAAATTTGAAATGGCTCGCCGCCGCATATGGTTGCGACCCGCATGTGCCCATGCAAAATAGATGCCGTAACCCAGGAAAATCTGAAATTCCCACCATAATATATCTCGTACAAATCAATAGAACCCGCGGCTATGGCCACAATTGAAGTTGATGACGATGAGATTCAAATCAGAACTCTGAAAATGCTTGAAAATTAATTAAGCCCAGAAGCAGCAGCAGTAGCAGCTGCACTCCCTCGCGAATACGACGAGCACTCAACCCACAGAAAATTCCCACAATCTTTTGGGCGGGAATTCCTTATCGCGGGGCAAAGGGCTCATAATGCGTGCAGGCGGTTCTACTCAAGCAGACATATCACTTTATCATATAGACACACTCGCACCCAACCCCCCAACCAAAAGTTGCTTCCGCTTTGAAGAGTCCGTGAGGCGTTAAACGCAAACTAAAAGCTTATACTACACACATGCAGTTTTTCTGGAAAGGCGTGTGCCAGCCTGGGCCCCCCTTTGGCTCATTGATAAATGATTGATTATCAATCCCATTCATGGTATGCGCGGTGGGTGCGTGGGTGTGTGGGTGCGCTGCGGTTTGCCTTCGGCTTAGCGCTAAAGTTTAGTGTTTGCTTTTAGTTTATCTTTAATGGATTATTTTAGTGGTTGCTTGGCTCGTCAGCGAGCAGAAAAATAATCACTACATTCTTAAAGTGGAGAATATAAGATGCCCATTAAATTTCTACAATTTATAATATATTTTAAGTTTTTAAATGAAGTTTATTCTTTAATAACAAGATTTATTAACACATATTTATTTATTAGTTTGTTGAATATTTATGGATTTTATTTTGGTTCCTAAAGAATTATAGCTTTCGGTTTGATTCAAAAGAGTCACAATTTATGAATAATCTTCGCCTTGCACTGCACTCCGTCGTAATCAATCAAATCCACACTATGAGGCACTCAATATACCCCGTTTCCGTATTCGGTTACCGGGTATAATCGTTTCCATAATCCACAAGGCCTCGCCCAATCTCACCACCCCCACACCTTTAGGGCAGGACGACGGACAAACATATCATATAATTTATGTTCCACTCCCCACAACTTTTCCCCTGTGACTAAGCTGATTCCTGTTTTTCTTTTTCTGTTTCTGTTGCTCTTCCCTAGTTTTACTGTTGCTGCTGTTTTTGTTTTTCTTCTTTTTTTTTTGTCCGCTGTTGTCTGGCGTGGCAGCTGCTTTGTTTCCATTTTCATTTTCATTGGCATTGAATAGATCAATCATGGACGGGTTCGCTGCGATTCGATACGTTCGGCGTACAAATACTCCAATGATGACCAATTATTCACCAATAAAACTGTCGACCAAATGTCATGAATTGAACTTTTACTTGCTGCGCTAAGCGGAAATCAATCGCAAATTGCTGGGAAAGTGATTTTGAAGAGTCTGTGGAATCAATTACCATTTCGAGTACTTTTATTTGAATGATTTAATGGAAAATGTGTAGCTAAAGTTACGTGCACTTGCCTTCATGGGCTGATTGATTGGCAAAGTCATTTCGAATTATTGGTAAATGGAAAAGAAAAGGCTTCACTTTATATCTAATTACTTTTTTCTTACTCTTTTGAATAAGTTTCTAGGCAAGTATCTATAAAGATTGCACATTTATTGTGCCTTACAGCAAACCTGTGAGTGTTTTATAGACATGTTTTTAGATTCATTACTGCAAAAGGTATATTTACAGGGATTCCCCCATAAACGTGCACCATAAATCAATCACAATATATTTTAAAAGTGTTCATAGAACAGAAACCAACTTAAATGCCAGGCTATAAACCTAGGCAAACCCTTTCACTTCCGACCTAATGCCTTTGCATTTTTGGGGTCAAAGTTTGTCTGGTTTTTATTTTATTTTTTCCGCCTTTTTTGTTTCTGTTTAATTTCGTATCTTCCACCCACGCAGGGCCCCACCAGGGGGGGGAGAAAGGGAAGAGTGCTGGAACTGAGAAACAATTTAATGCAACATCATCGAAATCGACAATAAATTGCGGCCGGACGGACTTGTTGCAGTTGTTGGCTTCAGTCAACAAATTGATATAGTGTGGGCGTGTTGTCGTAACGCATTTTATACAAAAAGATTTTTCCCTGAGACTCTCTGGGTTTCTTCTATCCACTTCTTTTGAGGTCTCTGTAAGTTTAATTTGTCGGTTTTTATTTAAACGCTGTCATTCGAATCGAGAGTCGCAGTCGTGTTTGACTCTTGGCCTTAGCCTAAGACAATTGTGAGAGGTGTTGCCGGGCAAATCAAATTGCGGCTCAATAAACGGCCAAGCAAATTACAATTGGGATTGTTTGGTTTATGGCCTAGTGTTGCTGTTGCAACGGCAATAGGCTATAGCAACAGCAATTGCAACACGTCGCCAACAGCTGTGTCAGCTGGCACTTGGCTGTCTAACGATTTATCTATCTAACATCTCGTGGGGACACGCGGCGTATGCGCAATTGCCATTTAATTAAAAATTATTTGCACAGCCAGGCGAAAAAATTTTTCGTTGATTTCATTTATCATTATTTTTTGTCGTTTTTTGAGTTTGCTTTTTTTTCTGTGCTGTGCAGGTGCGCAACGGAAACGACATAAACAAAATGTTCACACGCTCGCCGCTCCGCGAGACTTTGACTTAATGGCAATTAAGATGGCTCAGTCCACGCATTTCTCGGGGCAATCTAAATATAATCATTAGCTGAGCAAACAGAGATATATACAATTATATATATATATACATATTTATACAATTTTTGCATAGTCCCTCTGGGCTGGTCACTGGGCAATAAAAATTATAAAGCGAAATAAAGAAGGAGAAGCAAATAAATTGCCAGGCCGATGGAGATGGAGATGAAGACCAGGGCGTCTTCATTAATGATAGGAAGTGGAACTAAGGAGAGAGCGACTGACTCTGGAGTCAAAATCCATTTGACAACATAAAATTTTTGTTTCAAGCAACTGCCGCCGCTGATGCCGCCACTGGGAGCATTAATACCAGCGGCTAATTAACTTGTTGTTGAGCTCGTAAAATAGTTTGGCCGCTCATCAAGATAATAAAGGCCTGGGCCAAGTCGGCAGTCAGCCAAGTTTCGGTTTCAGTTCGACTCTTTAATTGAGCCCGAAAAAACCAACAAAAATTGTTGACTTTTGTGGCGTCAGCTGCACCGGCAGCAGAAAAAGGCCCAAACCCGCAGCAATTCGGCACTTGGGCACTTCAAGAATGTCCCGGAGACAGGCTACTGTCACTAAAGCGAACCGAAAAAGGGAACGGATCGGAACTGGGGCGCGGAGGGGCATTGCAGCAGTCACTTTTGGTAATTAGATTTTCAAGTCGAGATAATGAAGTGGACATTAAAATTTTACAACCTCCGGGGCGCACACTAAACACTAGTGAAACGGAAAGCGAACGAGCGAACGAACGCATTCAATAAATTAATTACGAATTTCGAACCTTAAATGTCCGACTTAGACTAGCCCCTTTTTAGTGCCATTATGCCAGGTGGAGGGGCCGACGGGCCACACCCAGCAATAAATATTGAAAACTGTCCCTGTCTCCAGCCCCAAAAGCAAGCCACAGACTAAACCAGACTCCGAGTCAGATTCAGATTCACACACATGTCTGGCTTTGGCATTTATAATGTAGTATGCATGACTCTAATTAAACCGCAATTGTTGTGTAAACTTTAAGGAATTGATTGCTCGGACACGAACCAGGGGACAGGTGGGATAGGTAAGTCGCAATGCAAGAAGTCTTGCTTGGCAATTAAGAAGCAATTGACTCGAGAGAGGAGGTGGCCCAGACTGCAATAAATGAATCTTGAATTGCACAGGCCAGTCTCGTACCGGGGAAGATATAAAATAATTATTGATTGGGCATAATAAAATAAATGATGTATATAAATAAAGTTTACTAAATGAAACCAGAGCGCAGAGTCTATTAATTAAGCCATCATTAATGCATTTAATGTTCTTGTCTAAACTCAAATTGCATTAAATAAATTTTGTTATCGATGTTTTTGCAAAAGCAGGACAATTACACAATATATTTTGTGATTTTAATGGTAAAGAATAAAACATTTGATTGCCTAGAGATCAAACCAATTATGTGTATGGCTAAGAGATACCTGATTTGTGGTATTAATTAATACATCAGGTCTTTATACAATTTATATAAATTGGTCCTTCGAGCCGGATATCACCAAAATACCTTTCAAGAAAGAAATTATTTTAAGGTATCGTATTGTGAAAGTATCAAATTTATATAAATTATTAGCAAATGTTGTTGCAATCAATTCTCAATAAAAACCTGCCAGATTTAAGGTCTCAAGTTGTTCACGCCAGAAAGGCGTTTAATTTCGGGAGCCAGTGTGATCCCGTACGCTCTCCTTTTCTCTCCCTCTTCCTCCGGACTTCCAGTCCAAAGAGCTTCCAATCCGCTCTCCCTAGCTTTAATTTCTTTGTATTGTGTTAGTACCAATTACTCCTTCTACTAATAAACATCGACGCACGTCGCGTAAAACCCCGTCAAGTCTCCGTGTTCTTATTTCGAGTGCATTTCAGCTTAAAGCCGCCCCCCTCCAACATTTGGTCCATCAGAGCCGGATTTTTCGTCGCATCTACCAGCAGCTCCGGTGGCTTTAAAACCGCGCAAGATAAGTTCAAATATATTATTGCTGCCGGTCATACAGTTAGGTTTTGCGAAGCTCAATTCCTCTTAATCTCTCTGTATGATTATTGTCTAAATCCAAGTCCGATTAATCCGACACTACGGCAGCATAAGAAGTTCCAATTCCAAATCCAAA